GCTTCAAGCAGCGTCGGAAAGTGCTGCGGCGCCTCAAGTGCGATTAGAGCAGCGCGATTTGAACGATTTGAACGATCTGAACGTTGAGGCGCAAATCGCTCTGAACTTTTGCAGCTCGACGCGCCGCGTCAACCAATCAGAGAGACTCCACTGTGTGACGTAGCGACATATTTCCCGACGGGACAGTTTACTGAATGATGTCCACTAACCTGAAACAGACAGAGAGGAGCTCTTTAGCTGAAATGAGTGCCTGCAGTCGGTGTCCTGACAGGAGATATCTGCACCAATGCGTGGCAGCGACTCATCAGACTGGACTCGGGACAAAAATAGTCCTGAAAGCGAGCTGTGAGCCTCTCCCGCTGCTCCTGAGTGATGAAACTCAGAATATCTCTGAATTATCTGGTGAATTAATTATGAATTAATTATCTGATGAACGTGACATGCTCTTGCTCGCTGTAAATAAAGTAAAGCCACTTCCTCGTCCGACATTAAACAGAGCCCGACAGAGGAGGGAGGGGCGGGGAGGCTCTTCCCATACGAGCGCTTCAAGAGCTGACCTGCGTCTGACCTCAAAGTGCACAAGCGACCAACTTGAAGCGTTAGATGCGATTTTGAAGCTGAAATCGCGTTCGGTGTGAACGCAGCATTAGAGGACAGACGAGTGGCGCAAAAACAAAATGTAGGGAAACGTTTGTGAGATTTGAGACAGAGATGGAGGTTCCAGCAGGACCATGACCCCAAACATGCTGAACTCCGGTGTTCATGGCGGGTTTTCTCCRGGTTTTCTTCCACAGATCAAAAACAGGCATGTTAGGTTAATAATTAGTAACTCTTGAGTGATGAGTGTTTTTGTCTCTATTCTATTTGTCACTGTGATGTAATTACTTGTCCAGGGTGAAACTTATTTTTTATTTTGTTCTGGTTGTAGGTGAGGGGACCATGAATCGAGTCCCTCTGCAGCAGCCACAGAACTGTGGCTCGTGGGAACTGAAGGAGAGACTCGGCACTGGAGGGTTTGGGAACGTTACAAGATGGCAAAATAAGGTAGAAAATGACCTATCATTCTTATTGTATCATTATTATTATTTTCATATATCTTTAAAAAAACCCTTCATCGTTGTAAAAACAAAAGTGTAGGATTTTCGGAAGACAAGCATTTTCTTAAACTTGCACCATAAAACAAGTCACAAAGTGACTTCTGTCTGTGTTTCACTGGACAAATAGACAATGGGCCTCATGCAAGAACCGTTCGTACGCACAGATTTGTTCTTAAGTTGTGCGTACGAGTGATTTAGGAGAATTTGTGGCATTCACCAA